AGTCTAAGGGTGACAAGAGTTTTTTATTATTCTTGTCTAGCCATTGAGTTTATGGTAACCTTATATCTTGCTTCTTGGCTTACCATTCTATGAAAGAATCTTGGTTTGTGTAACAGGTCAACCACTGTTACGACCTGTAGTTGACTTCTAAGGTTCCCCCTTGTGTTTCAACCATAAATACATTGCAAAGCCTTGGGCCTTTAAGTGGGAACTTGAGTTTTGATTTCATCCTGGCTTGTGATTTGGAGAAAGCACATATGGAGTCAAGTGCACCACCTAGAACGATGTAATGCGAGATTCTTGTATTTGACACTGCTATATTATTGTAATGGTGTAACTTTGTAGCTTTGTATCATTTTTGAATCTTCTTGTAATCCATCTTTTGTAACATTTTGGGAAGTATTTAGTAATTTGTAACACACGCACCTAAGTGACTTCCTCTTGCTTTTAACGGTCATATGTGATGTCTTGGTTGAGTGCAACTTTTGTTATCAACTTGAAAACATATATAACCCTGTAACTTAAAAGTAGTTTATGATATGAACAAACTTTGTTTCCTCGAGCTTGTACTTACCACACATTTGCATTCTTGTAACTTTGTAGCTTGGTGTAATGTAACTTTGTATAATGTAACATTTGTGTAATTTTTATTTAATGTAATTTTGTATATTTATATTTCTAATGATTTAGTAATTTGAATTAAGTTTTCACCCAAAGTGAATTGATGTCACGTTCTTTTGCAAAGCATATCTTGAAAAGTTCCTCTTCATGACTTTAACTTCCAAGTATAATTAGTATCTTGCCTTTATGAATGGCCATACGAATGAAGTCATGACTTGCATATGCCTAATCATGGCTTTTACTCAATCTTGCATCCTAGTTTGAAACAAATTAACACAAATCTTGAAACAATTCTTCTAATCATGGCTTAAAAAATGGGTTCTAATCATGGCATGGGATCAGCTTGAAATATAGCCTGAAGCAAGGCTTGAAATTAAGTGATCATATGGCTTAAAATAAGCTTGGAACCAATTGCTTATCTTGAATAATTTGATCTCATGGCCTAAAACCAAATTTGAAACAAATTAGGCCATGCCCTAAAATGACTCAATCATATAATTTGGCTCATGGCTTGAGGACAAGTCATGTCTTGGATAATTAACCATAAGAATGAGGACATATCCTTCCTTTATCCTTCATGGACTCCACACACCTTGCAAGGGTCCACAAAAAAATCTCCATGACCTAAATCTTGGAGGATCATGGTCAGAGATCAGATGGTCATCTAAAGAAAAATCACCAAGCATCATAATTATTTAGCATGAGAAAAAGTAAAAAGGTAGGAAAGATTTGGGGTATGACAGATGCCCATATCTAATTGGCTTGAACCTAGTAAGATGAATTGTGATGGCGTTCATTATTTTGAGGTATAAGTCAATTAGATATGAAGAAGACTCCAAATTTGTCTGAAAAGAAAGATGCTTGAGAGGTGGGATAACAGATCGATGTCGACTCTCGAGTGGACACTAAGTAACTTGAAAAGGTTACCACCACCAAAAGGATGCTAACGAAAAGTTCTGACACCAAAAAGATGACTGACCTATCAACAAAATGATGATAATAAACTCACACGACTCAACTTGCCATTACCAAAAGGGTAACAATAAACACACACACACACACACACACACAGACCCTTCACTGAAAGGATGAAAGTGAGGTTAAAACTCGCTATTATCAAAAGGATAATAGTAAGTACATACACAAAGAACCTTCACCAAAAGGATGAAAATGAGGTCAACACTTGCTATTACCAAATGGATAATAGTAAGCACATACACATATTTCTGACACCAAAAGGATGATAGTAAACACACGATAAGATTCCTGACACCAAAAGGATGATGGATCTATCACCAAAAGGATGATAGAGAACACATATGAATCCGACACCAAAAGGATGGCAGACCTATCACCAAAAGGATGATAGTAAACACACGATGACCCTTCACCAAAAGGATGAAAGTGAGGTCAACAAGACTTGCTTTTACCAAAAGGATAATAGCAAATAAAATATGACATGAGAGATTGTCATTCACCAAAAAGATGATACACAGACCAACAAATTCACGGATTGTCGGTACTAAAAGGAAGATAAGATCAAACAACACAAGTTGCTACCTCCAAAAGGATGATAGAAACTTCCCCATTTTGAGAACTACCAACACCAAAAGGATGAAGGTTAAATTGAAACAACATGAATGGCTACCACCAAAAGGATGATAGTAAATTTATGATTTTGAGAATTTCCAACACCAAAAGGATAAAGGTCAGGTTCAACTGACAGGGTTTGGCTACCACCATAAGAATGATAGTAAGGCAATTGACAAAAGGTCAAGTTTGTTGTATGATGAGTAAACTTGTTTGGAGACCTTAACAAAAGGTTGAAGTAAAGCAGTCATTGAAGAATACCATCCTTATCAACAAAAGGTTAAAAGGAATCAACTCACTAGGGAACGCCCAAGAGGAAGGTAGATATTTATTTGGAGAAAAACCACTGACTGATCTGAGGACAACAACTCCATCAACAAAAGGTTGAAGAGAACCAATGGAGAACACCCACTGGCTCGGAGAAATGCTACTGGCTGAGCTAGGGATGACAACGTCATCAACAAAAGATTGAGGAAACAACTCAATGGGGAACACCCACTGACTTGCTTGAAGATCGCAACTTCAACAACAAAAGTTTGAACCAGTTCCATGAGGAACGCCCACGAACTTAAAGAAGATGCCCCTGGCTGGGCTAAAGATCGCCTTGGAATCTTGAGATTGATCTTGAATCTTGATCTATGCATGTATGAATGTTAGATTTTGTAAATGTTATTTCATATTGAATGGAAATGCAATGCAAATGTTGACGCGCTGAGATGCAAGTGCTAGGGAAGTGTGAGATTGATACATGTATGCATATGATGTTTAATGTGATGCATATGATACGTATGATTGCAGACGAGTGATTGAATATGTTTTGTGAGGATGCCAGCATTGTGGACTTTTGGTAGTTGTCAATTCAAATTGGACTTTGGGTGGTGGGAGGAGTTGATTTTCTCGACTTATGAGAGAACCACGACTTTTATGCTTGATAGTTAGGTCGACCTTAAAATGAGCGTAGCGACGTGATCGACACATGAAGATTGTGTTTTTACTCTGAACTCAATGATTGCTAGTGCCTTGGCAAAATATGCTTGACCAACTTGAAGGTAAAGAGAGGATCCAAATACATATTACATAATATTCATGATCAATTTAAAAAATAAATATTATCCTAATTAATTATAACAAGGCTTAAAAATAGTCGAGTCGAACTCATCTCAACTCGACTCGATTCGCTAAGAATTGGTTAAGGTCAAATCTTGGTTTGAGTTTGACACAAATTTTTTTAAGCTCAAATCGACTCGTTATAAATTCACGAATAATTCGGTTCAACTCGTTAATTTCATCTCCTTAAGTTCAACTCAATTGTTTCGCGGATTTAAAAGTTATTTTCTTAAGTCTATTTTTTTATTTATATATATTTGATATTTTAAATTAATATTTTTTTAAAAATATTGAAATAAAATAAAAACTATCATATTGAAGTTTAACTCTTTCAAAAATCTTTTAATTCAAAAACTAAACTTTCAAGAAATACATTTAAAAGTCTAATTCAAAAACTATTTAATTGGAGCTTAAATTTGTCTAAAAAAAATCCACAACTTCATCTAAATATTTAGAAAACTACAACTTTAATGAAATAATACATAAAAAACATTATTAGAAATTACATTTATATCACAGAATAACAATTTTCATTATCTATGTTATTTTAACAAATGTCATTATACTTTCAACAAGGACAACTCTAAATGCAATTGTTAGTGTTACTGTCATAACTAATATGAAAGAGACAATATAGAATTAAAATTTAGAGTAAATATTTAAATTTATTTTTAAAAATAATATAATTTTTCTCATATATAATCGAGTTAACTCATAAATCTAATTAATTGAACTATTTATAATTTAAGTTCAACTTATTTAATTAACAAATTTAATTTTTTTCTTCTCATATTCAAATATTTGTATCATGAACCTAATTCAGCAATTTAATGCTCGAATCAAATTTCAAACTAATTCAACAATTTAATGCTCGAATCAAATCAAATTTCAAACTATTCGTAAGTTAATTCAGTTCATTGTCGATTCTAACTGCATCAAAATTTATCTCGGAGACACTCGTTAGCATTTCTCTTATTTAAATTAAAGAAAAATCTTAATCAAATATCACACTAACTTTTTTTTCGTATAAAATCTTTTGAAATCCTCTAAATCTCTAATTGAATACACCCCCGACATGCATGTTACTTGTACTGTTATCATTATTTGTAATATTTTTCAACAGTTTCTTTAAAGAAGAAAAAAAATGCTTAAACTCCTGTTTGAACTCTCCATAATTTTTCTTTAACTTCTCTCTTTTCTTTCTTTCAAAATCCGCCATCAAAATCTCCCAAACATATCCTAAATAAATTGTGAGACTTAACCAATTAGGGTTGATAGTATTCTAGTTATATCTGCAAGTCTATAAAAATTGTATATTATATAAATACATTTGAAATCTGATTTTGCACAACTGCTTCTTCTCTAGCAAAGCCTAGAGAATAGTACAGGTCCAGTTTGTTGTTCATTCTGCTCCTGTACTCCTCTGAAGACCTGCAGAATTGGATGAACAGCGCCACCATTTTACCAAGATCACGGTGGCTCACGGTAATTCAGACAATCTCACCGCCACTCCAAACATGCACATTGGTCCCACTGTCTAAAACAGTTCAGACTTTACTCTCCTAATTAATTAACTATATTTTCTATAAGCTCAAAATTTCTAAACTGCAATAACCGATTCTTAAGGACACAAATCCATCAAAGAACTATATGTGGTCAATTTTCTAGAACCCGCCATCCACTCATCCACTGGCGTCATCAACATTGAAACTTCTATCAATAGCATAATTCACAAAACTGTATAGAGGCAACACTTGATCTCCATACTTCTCAAATCCATCCAATTCCTTCATAGCCTTTGCTCTAAGTTCTTCAGCTATCTCGGTTGCTTTTTCAACTCCATAAACGCCTACATAACTCTTCCCTCTGTTTTTCCTGTCTTCTTTATCTCCCTCGGGTTTCAATTTCTCTTCCAAAATATCATCTACAACTGCATACAATACTCCAACAGCTCTACCATACCTCCTCAGTCTCTCTATCTCATCCTCTTCGGCACCGGCCAACAGTCCCCCACACACCGCAGAACACTCCCCCATTTCACCAAACTTTTTATCTTGTATAAATCCAACAGCATTTGGACCCCCTTCAAGGTCCAAGAACTGCCCTGCAGCCATACCAGTAGAGCCCACGGAGCGGGCTATTTCAGCAATCACACGAAGTAGACGGGACTCAGGTACAAGGTCAGTGGGAGTATGTGAAACAATGTGTTGAAATCCAAGGGGAAATAATGCATCACCCGCCAGAATTGCCATGTCAACACCATAGATAGTGTGATTTGAGGGGTGGCCACGGCGCGATGAGGAGTCATCCATACAAGGAAGATCATCATGTATCAACGAAGCAGCATGAACCTGCTTGCAACAAAAATATAAGTTCCAACATTCAAACAATTTCTCATTGTCAACATCATTATTATTACTATTATTATTATTATTATTATTATTTATGTGAAGTGCATATAAACACTCCATAAATCTCATTGTGTCCATTAAGGAGTTCCAAACACACATATTCAGAGAAACAATTAAGGTATTATTACAATCATTCTTAACAGAATCATCAAACGGGCAAAATTTGGGGACTATTTTAACTTTAAGCATAAAACAGCTAGCAGCAGAGCCATTCTTACTAAACATTCAACTAATGGAAAGAGAAAGGAAGTCGAAAGAAAAAGAAAGCTCATCTCTCTCAGAGTAGGCAATTAAGAACAGATTTATTGGATACATAAATGTAAAACTCTAGCTCAATAACATAAGAAAATAAATTTGAGAGAATGAATAGACCGATCTATGGCGAGTGTCTTAGCATAAAAAATCAAACTAAAAACATAATGCAATACAATAAAATCAAAATGGCAGAGTATAGAAAGAATATTACCATTTCAAGGGCACAGGCAGTGGGGAAGGCAGCAAGGCGGCTGCCCCCAAAGAGTTCACAAGCAGAGATGCACATAACAGGCGGGGCTCGCTTGGCTCCTTTGGCAAGGGAAGAATACCTCATAGCTTCATAGATCTGTTGAGGAAATTTAACTGGAATAGCTTCATCAAGCTTCTGATTGATCTGCACCAATAGGGAAGTCCAATATGTCTTCAAATCAAAGTCAACAGCTTTTGATCGGATAGAAACCGAGGAAGGAGAAGCAGCCGTGGAGCAGCGAATTGGAAGAATAGGATTACAAGACTTTCGGAAATGGCCAATATTTAAAGAGGGCAATGTCGCAATTGTAAAAGGAGCCATCTTTAACTCTATATGAAGAAAAAGAAACATGTTATCAAAATGCATTCAATTCAATCTAATATCATCCCTACCAATCTCTTCTATATAAGAGTTAGATCAGTAGGTTACATCCAAAAGGGAAAAAAAGAATACTCATGCAACATTCATTCAAACAAAAGATATGCATTTCATCAAACAGTTAGTGGGTATGAATAATTAAATGATATCCAGCATTAAGGATTTGGTGATTCTAAATTCAGACACAAACACAAAGATTCTAGCACACAACCTTACTAAAAACCGCAAAGATTAAAATTTTCAACAGCATATGATCATATTAATAAGAAATTGTGCAAATTTAGTGTTTTTGATTTGGGTGGTAGAGAAAAATAAAAGGGGTAAAAACGATAATCAAATCACCAGTTAACGGGAGAAGAAAATTCAAAGAGTGAAGTCCCGAATTGTTGAAAACGAGAGATTTAGAAATGGTGGAAAAAGAAAGGCATGGAATTGAGAAGAGAGAAAGAGAGAGTTACCGATAGATATGTGATAAGGTGGTAGTGCGAAATGGCGTGAACGTGAGTCAGATTCAGTGAATTAAGCATCTGTTGGGTGCTTTTGTAGATGATAGTACTCCACAGATAAGGTTAGAATAATAGACAGATAGAATAGATCAATTAAAAGCAACTATTTCCTTTCCATACACCCCATTAATTTTTTGTTTCCTTCTTTATAAATAAACAACTACCAAATGTACTTTAAAAAAAACAACTACTAGATATTCTAAAGTAAGCAATTAATCAAATAATTATGTGTAAATAATTCTTTTTATCAAAATAACCAATTTTTTGAAAAAAAAAAAATAGCAATGCGATGCAAATATCAATTCAATTGGTGTCTGCATTTAAAGAAAAAGCTAGGTCAATGGAATTGGCGGCTGCATATGAATGCACCAATTGATTGGCAACACAACATAGCAAGTAGATGAAGACGTCACTTCAATTGACGAATGAGTACAAGAACTAAATGCATGCACCAATACATCTAACTCTTATGTGTTAGATGTTTTTTTTATAGTTTAAATAGAGGTGTCTTCTACCATTTACTTCACACCACTTCTCATTTTCTTTTTAATTTTTTCTTCATTAGTTCTATCATGATTGTTAAAATAATTGGGCATGTTTGTTTTCCAAGAATCAAGCCTCTAATGACGATGTGCTTTTAGAACATTCGGAGTTTCGAACAACTTGAGAGGAGCTTGAAATTTTGGTTAGACAGAGAGACTAATGATGGTGAAAGAATAAGAATTATCGAAAGACTTGTTTCGTACATCTTTATTGCGAATGAAAATGATGATATCCAACAAATGTTAGTGCATGTTAAAGATGACAAAGATGCTAGAGATATGATGTTTGCACAACATGATATTATTTTGATTATAGTAATCTCTTAGATATATTGTGGTGTTAAGTCTTTTTATTTGTTGTTTGCGTTGTTGTTTTAGACGTGTTTACGTTCATGTATTTATATTCGTTTTGTCGTAACCATATATATATATATATATATATATATATATATATATATATATATATATATATATATATATATATATATATATATATATATATATATATATATATATATATATATATATATATATATATATATATATATATATATATATATTAAATTCCAATCTTACAAAAATTAAAAAAAAATCATGCAGACCTTGTTTCAACATTGGGATAATGTTTCCAAGTGTGTTGGGGCTGACGACATTGTTTACTGGTGTTTTTTTGTAAACAATCACGAGTTCAGAAAGTATGTGAGATTAACTCGAAAAATCTCCAAAGTAATTTGTGCAATTGATTTGTGTGAACACACGTGCGTGTGGAATGAATGCAGTCGTCACGTGAACGATAACTACGTAGAAAAAGACTTTAAATGAAGTTAAGTTATGATAAAGGACATGTAAAATGCAATAAATGATATTAAATAAAGAAAAAGAACAAACAAATGTTTCGTTCAAGGAAACAAAAAACTAATGAAAAAATTGGACGCAGACGGATACATGTTTCTCGCTCAACTGTTTCACTATTTAACTCATGTACTCTAGTGGTATGAAGAGTATGTATAAAAGTTTGTGATCCTTGATCCCATGTATAAGTCTACTATTTATTCTATTTACAAAGTAATCGTCGAAGACGATTATGGCCACTAGAGGACCATTGCATTCACTTCACGTTCAATCTTTAGGCTTCCACTAGTGTGCTTATGTGTCATCTAAGACTCTATATGCTTATAACTCACGTTGAGTTGTAACTGCTTCCAACTTCCTCACGAACCCCTGATGGTAACCACTCCAATGTGTTGTCGATGTTGCCTACCAAGAACTTTGGACTTGTAAATTTACTAAGTATTTCAACCTTACATGGTTCGGCCGACTGGTCTTCTTGCTGAAATAAAGGCCCATGTTGACTATCCTTTTCAAGATTGTGGACATGTTTCCCAGTGATCTTGGTCTTGTGGATTCTTCCCTGAGATTCCTCCAAACCATATTTCCCTATCCATTACATCAGAAAAGAGTTTTAATAGCACTTTTTATAAATTTGATAGCATTTTTAAGCGCTATTATAGGTTAACTGCCTATAATAGCATTTTTAAGCGCTATTAAAAGTGCAATTTAAAATAGCACTTATCCTAAAGTGCTATCAAAGATTGTATTTCTCCATTGAATTTAAGAGGCTTTTGATAGCGCTTTAAATAAAAAGTGCTATTGTTGACACAAATATTTATTGGAAACTTTTTAAACAATGCTATTAAAAGTCTCCTTTTTTTTCTTCTTAACATATAAAGATTTTTCGTGACTTAACAATAAAGTAAAATTAACACATTTATTTTTCTAAAAATGTGAATATATATTGTATTACGTATAAGATACGATCTTAATTTACATTAATAAAAAATATTAGATACAAATCTATCTATCTATCTATCTATCTATCTATCTATCTATATATATATATATATATATATATATATATATATATATATATATATATATATATATATATATATATATATATATATATATATATATATATATATATATATATATATATATATATATATATATATATATATAATGATTAAGGCAAAACATGCTAAGATGATTACATTATAGACTGGTATAAAAGTGTGATGTGTTCGCATACTAATCAATTAAAAAATTTGTGTATCTGTATAGCAAAAAGTGCATTGTTTGTGTTGCGGCACATTTATGAAAAATGAAAATATTGAGATAAAGTCCATTGAAGTTGACCCTAAATCTTACTATTTATACCAATTCTTGTCAAGCCTGAGGTAGGAAAACATAAAACTAAAAGTTCTTTTCACGAAGAAATATAAATGTCAAAACTCGTGTTTCAATTTTTTGCATTCCTGGAGGTTAAAGCCTTCAGTTCACCGCAACCTCAGATGAAAGGAAATTATAATCAACTACATTTTGTCTAGAAACTTTAGCTTTAGAGTTCTTCGGCAATTGGAAAGCTTCTTCCACCTTGGCAGAAAAAGATTCTTGTGATTCCATGAGAATCAATAGCTTAGCATTGTCCGTCTCCAATAGCATGTCAGTAATCGTTAACATTGTAGGTGAAAAGGGGTTTTGTATATCGTCTCCATAGGGATTGTCATGATATCACTTGTCGTTCTGCAGTTTAAAATATTTTAAGAAGGGTTTCCAAAGTTTGTTTATTTTGGATCATAAGTTTGTCACGATTTTTGTAGCAAAGATTTAAATTCGAAAAGATGTTGTTTAACAAGATATATCAAAAACAGATTTCGTCAACCTAACTTGTATATATTCAATTAATCAAGCATGTGAACTTGTTTCTGATTAATACAATCATGTATCCTCTCAATACCGTCTATGTGTACAATGGTGTCGTGAATACTATTTTATCTGTCATTAGATGATGTCTCACACTAGCAATGGATACAAAAATCGTTAAGAACAACACAAAGCAAATATCAACTCACAAATCTATGTCTAGAGTTTGTTTGTTAATAGATGAATATTTTAGGTCAAGGTTTGTAAAATCCATGTCTAGAGTGATACAAATCATAAATGGATCATTAAAAACAAAAACATTCAACATATATTAATCATTAACTTGTTCATATACAAATAGATCAAAATAAATACATACAAGCTAAGATAGACTAACTCTACCTTTGATACAAGACAAGAAAGAAGATGAACAAGCATTCAAGATGAAGAATCAATCTAGGATGCGAATCTAACTTCTACTTGCAAAATATCACTTCTTGATGAAGAAATGATGAAACTAGGGTTTTTTCTCCCCAAGACAATGTTGTAAACTCAGAAAATTGGAGTTGGTAGGTTATGATCCCCATAAAGTGGAAAAAAAGGACATAAATACCTTTCCAAAATCTGTCTTGTTCGCACTACAAACTCCATTTATAGGCACTTCAAGTGCCTCTAAACAGTTAAACCTCCCCTGAAGATTCCTTGACCTTGCACTACGAAGCTTTCGTTTGCACTGCGAAGCTTTCGTTCGCACTGCGAACCTACTCGCTCAGACCTTACACTACCACTAACCAAGGGTTTAGCTACCGCCATCCAAAAGTTTTAGTTCACTATTCCTTCTTTGCGAGCTCGCTTTGAACTGTTAACCTTCACACAAGGAACCTGCAGACTTCTTCCTCATTTCTTTGACTTCCTTTTCCATTCAAATATGTCTTGTTCTTTGACAATCCAACCTATTTCCTACACAATAGCACACATATCAAGGCATCCAAAGGTAAAATCAATTATATTGAGGAATCACACAAGAACATGAAATAATTCAATTGAAACTTGAGAAAAAAGTTGAAAAATGCCAAGAATCATGGATTAAAATAAGGTATATTTGGCATTCAAAAAACTCTCCCCAACTAGATTTTTGCTTATCCTCAAGCAAAGTATGCCCCTCATAACAACAAGAGGATTTTCTCAAGCA